AAAGTACACAGTATACATGGCCTTAGTAAAAGTACACAGTATACATGACCTTAGTAAAAGTACACAGTATACATGACCTTAGTAAAAGTACACAGTATACATGATCTTAGTAAAAGTACACAGTATACCGTGTACATGGCCTTAGTAAAAGTACACATTATACTGTGTAGACTCGGGCTGAGCGCTCTCACGGCGGCGCCGTTTCCTTCGAGGACGTTCAGCGACGCGCACCAGTCGCACGTCTACGATGACGCTCAGAACACATTAACGTTTTTTCTTTTGTACTTGTATCACAAAATATCCTCGGCAGCAGGAAGCTAAAATAGAACAAGTACACAAACAGAAAACACAATCTACCTCACAAACACCACGGCCGTGCCAACGCACAAAGATTATTTATTTTACTGTAAACATTTAGACGTTTAAATTACCACCAACACAAACAATCAATATTTAATCAAAGATTTCCAACCCAATAATTGATTCTCGACGGCTGAATCGATCAATAAACACGCCCGAACGTCAACAACTAAATGTTTCATCTTTTGTTGCGATGACGCTTTTAGATTTTGTACCAGACGACTTTTGATCACCGTAACGCTGCGACAGTTTGTGCCATCACAAAACTTCCAACAGTTCCTGAAAGCTGAGGAAAAGCACTTTACAGTTTGCGCAGAGTTCGTACAACAGCCGGACTCCTGCTGGTGCAGGAAGCCGTGAAACTGACACAGGTGCAGAAAAATCAGACAAAAAGAAGCTGAATGTCATAAATCCAGTTCATTCATATAAATCCAGTTCTGCTCAGCAACCGTCCTTCCAGCAACAAACAGAACGCTTCGTTTTCCTCCTGGCTGGTAAACGGGAGGCGGACGATCATGTACTTCCACTCAAGAAACAAAAATATTTAGATTCAGCCATAAAACATAGAAAAATAAAGGCTATAAATATGAAAAAACACCTCAGAGGTCTCAAATCTGATTATTTTTAAAGGTTCTGAGCTCCAGTCTCACCCGACGCTTCATACAGGAAGTTACCCTGAGCGATACGAGCCACTTCCTGTCTGAACTAGCTCACTGTGCTGCGACGATGCTAACAGTGCTAACATTTTTGCCTGGCCTTTATCAATTAATCAGGTGTTTGTTTATATTTTTGGCGGCGGTGGGTCAGAGAACCTTTTCCCACCTAAAAGCAGAGAAAACCCCAGACCCCCGGGAGGTGGACTCAGTCAGACACACCTGATAATCCCTCAACCCGACCAGAATGATGTCCGACGTGTTGATCCAGACCTGCAGAACAAAAACAAGCGTCACTCGTGTTGCTCTGACCTCCACGCAATCCAGTGGGCGGAGCCACGTGAACCCAAAGTGCGCAGACTCTGCGTAAAGGTGCCGTTCGGGACGGGTTTCTACCTTTTTCCGGAGTTTTCCTCTGATGTGGCAGAGCCTCTTGGTTCCGTCGAAGCACATGGCCTCCAGGCGGCCGTTCCCCAACATCTTGATGACCTGAGCGTACTCTGCAACACATTAATGAGCGTTTAGGCACCAACAGAGCTCCGTATCACCAGCCGTAAATAAAGAGAAAATAAAAACCGGAGTTATTTAGAATGTCTGAACAGGAAGTCGAATTTTGGTTGATAAATCAAACAAAGACGTTCATCCTGCTTTTAAAACCATTTTTCTACATATTCAAAGTTTAATGTTGCTTTGAAGAAAATTAAAGCCTCAGTAATGGATACATGTAGATTCTTTAGTAGGTTTTAATTTTAAAACTAAACTTTTTCTTATGTTATTTTGTTTCTTCTCATTAATTGGATTATTTATTAGTTCTTTCTTTGAATAAGAAAGCAGTTTTTAAAGCTCCAATATTACACTAATTTTAAAGCCAAATAATAAATATATAAATATATATTTTAAAGGTGATTTGGTCCTCGCCAGTTTTACAGAGTCAGAGCTGAAATCGAGCGTGGCAGTAGCTGAGAGTCATATTTGATGATCGCTCCGAGCACGAGGGCTTCGGTTTACACTTCAGCGGTGATATGAAGTCCTTCAAGGCTCGCTCGTTCTTTCACCTGCAGACGAACGAGAGCCCGTCCGACAGAATCCGCCGTTTATAAAATTAAAATTTTAAAAACGTTGCCGCCGCCGTTTAATTGCAAATGAAAGAACATCCAAGTTAGCACGGTCCCTACACGTTTATTTTATAAACAGCTGATCAGGATTTTAGTTTTTATTTTTAAAACATGGTTAGAAAACGTCTCTTTTCAAGGTTGACTGATTGTCTTTCGGATGAGACGAAACGCATCTAGATTTTTTTACTTTTTGTTTTTTTTTAATGTCCAGAGGACCAGATTGAACTTTTTTTTTTTTTTAGATTTTTCTACCTGGATTATTGAGCATGCATCAGGATATTTGACCGATCGTCATCATTTTTTCTATGTGATGAGACTCTAGTGACCCAGACCTGCTGAATGAAACCAGAACCAGGACTCACCCTGCCCGTCCTCTTTGAACACCAGCTCTCTCTTCTCAGACTCATTCTCGTTCTTTCCACGTCGCCGGTTTTTACCTCCTTTACCTGCAAACACAGACCAAAACGTGTCAGCCGACGGACTTTAAACAGGAAAATTATCAGGAACTTATTTAAAACACGAGACAGAAAATGGATCAGAACTTTAAAAATCTAGTCCCGAGACGACACCGAGACCAGGCCCTCAGATTTTAAAGTTTGGAAAGAAAAACTTCATTCACCTTTAAAATTTTACTCCTTTTAAATCCTAACTTCCAATAGGCCTGCAATGTTATTTAATCTGTTTTAAACACATTAAAATGCACAAATATATGTTTTAATTATAAGCAAAGGAGGTCTGGATCAAGACAGTCCTGTGCCTTAAATCTAAAGTTCAGGTGGAATTAAACTGCAACTTAAACTAATGAGCCTAAATATTTAAATATTAAAGTCATCTACTCTCAGTAGGGAACTGAACGGAACTAGTTAATATTCAAGTTAACATCGTGACACGTGTGAGCTCATTTGAACCTTTAACAAACTAAAATGAACATTTTAAAGTGTTAATGAAGTCAAACACGAGATAATAAAGTTGTGAAATTGACGGGCAGATATCGCCCAGGGTGCGGTTTACCCGTGTTAGCTAACAGTTAGCAGCAGGTAAAGGGTTAGCAGCTTCTTCACACCGGAATTAACTCGTTTTTTCTTTATTTCCTGTCAGTTTTTACTCCCGACAGGTGAAGAAGTCTGGGAAACAAGCGGCTGCTAGCCACGGTTAGCCGGCCCGGGTCACGTTTTCATCACGGCGGAGCGAGACGTTTACCATCAAAACAGCTCTTTTTGACCTCTTACCTTTATTTTTGGGCATATTTTCTCACAACACGGTCGCTTTAACCACGCTCTGTAGAACTGTTGGGTGATAAATGTCTAAAAAAAGTCAGAAAACGGCTTAAATGTAAATGCGAAGAGGAGCGACGACGCAGCTAATCAATGCTGGACTTGTCCACCGATCTGCGCAGGCGCGGAACAATGTGTTCAAACTGTCAAAGCTTTATTAGAAAAGGTTACTGTTACAAACAGGAAGGGTTCGTTGAGTATGGAGCACCTGAAATGCCAACTGTTCCTTTTTCTTTTCTTCTTTGTTGAAATGTAAAATGAGCTTATACTCTTGTTTTGTGACACAAAAAATATGGAGTGAGGCATTGTTTTTTTATTTTGTTCTCCGACGACCACAAAATAATTTAAACACACAAAAAGTCACCATTTACAATGTGATTAAAAACGTAAAGCTAAACAATAATTTTACACACATTTTATTCATTTATTTATGTCTTAATATAAACTTAATCCTAAAAAAATGTAATCCTCAGAGTATTAAAGCAGACATGAGCTGGTTCACAGGCAGTGCTTAATCTGAGCCGCAGGATCCAGGAACTCTTATTTTGACAGGGTGCATTCTAGCAACCATTCGCTAGGATCCGGTAACTCTCAGGCTTACTAATAATAAAGTTATGAACAAATATGACTGCCTTGAATGAATAAAACTTATATTGGATATGTAAACTGTTGAAAATAATTACATAAACACTCATTTTAAACACAACAACCACTTACAACTTCTTGGGGACCGACAGGGTGTAGAGGCAGGGCAGCCAGCTCGGGACCTGAAAGTCCTAGGTTCAATCCCCGTCACCGCATACCTCGTGGTGTCTCTGGGCAGCACACCCTATCCCCAAAATGCCCCCTGGGCGCCTTCAGCAGCAGCCCACTGCACCACCTGGTGGTGGATGGGTTAAATGCAGACTAATTTCGCCATTGTACGGAAACATAGGGGGTGCACCGATAAATCGGCCCCGATTTCCTTAATTTTGGGAAATCGGCTGATACTTGCACGAGAAACCGATTTTTTTAGTTTTAACAATTGTCTAAATTTCATTTATATTTCAGAGCACCACCTCATGGCCAGTTAAAACATGTCTGTATTGTTTCTAGGATATTGTTCAAGTGCACGTTTTTCAACAAAATAATTGAAAATTAAAGGTGTATTGTTCAAAATGTTCTAGAATTGCGCCGCTCAAGGTGGCTGCATGATGGAGCAGCTCTGTTACTTTCATTCTGAGATTTTGCTTTTGGAAACTTTAATTCCTCTTTTTCTGGATGTAAATCACATTTTTTGGATGATTGTTTCCTCTGGTATCAGATGCTGTGCAGCTGGAAGGATTTTTACTGAAACTTTTTTTAGTTTTGGACATTTGTTATGATGCGTAACCATGGCAACAAGGCAGTTTTCTACAACCAGGAGCATCTGATTAACATCTCAAAAGCTCAAATAATATCTCAACCACAGCCCAAAATCTCAAGTGAGTTGAAAAGGATGTTCCGTGGATGCATTCTCATCTACCTGCCAGCTGTGCTCGAATGCCTGACCAGTGAGATCCTGGAACTAGCAGGAAACACAGCTCATGACAGCGGAAGGACAAGATCGTCCCTCGGCACCTACAGTTGGATGTCCGCAGCGACGAGGAGCTCGTTAGACTGCTGGGAGGAGTGGCCATCGCTCTGGGAGGAGTTCTGCCCAGCATTTGGGTGGTCCTTCAGCCCGGGGGCAACCGAGAGGCCAGCTGAGTCTGGGTGGACGGATCGGACGGCATCTGCAGACAGTTTCTTAGGATCCACTGTGGGATGGATCTTTACAAGAGATCCTTCCTGTCTAGGGCCATCAGCATCTATAACATCTCTTAATGAAATGAGGATAACGAGTTACAGCGACAAATAATTTCCCTCTGGGATTAATAAAGTATTTTTGAATTGAATTGAAACCTTAATCTGAAAAAGTTTGGTTCAGGAAAACCCTTCCAGAAAATTAACGCTAAGATGTGCAAATTAATCTTCCTCCCCTCCCACTAGTTGTCTTTAAACGTATCACCAGCGAGAACCTTCAGACAGAAACGACGCGCCTTCATTTGATTCTTGTATTTTATTGGTTTTCAATAGAAAGTCCAACTCTGCAGAAAACAGAGAGGCGGCGCAGCAGCAGGGACATGTCCGACGGGTTCCGACGAAGAGGAGGAAGAACAAAGTCAAAGCTGTTCAGAATCGCAGAAAAACGTGTTTTTCTTTATTTCAGAGCTGTACACCGACAGACAAGTCAACAAAATCTACAGGTATAATCAAAAATTATATAAAAAACATAAAATCTGACATGTATCCCTTTGAGTTGACATTCAGACGCAGAATTTCTGTCTTTAAAAACTACACGGAGGCCCGTTTCACCAAAGTATATAAATATAAAAACTGTTAGGAGTCAGTTTCTCACATGAAAAGAAAAACGTAAGTTTCTCTGCAGCAGAAGCTAAAACATGCAGATTATTTTCAGTGAAGGAGACAAACCTTGATTTCAAACTTTTAAAGTGAAGTTTGATGTCAAATCGTTACGGCAAAGATGCTCAAGGATTTTCATTGTTGCATAAATTAATTTACGTTACGGTCGTTTTTCACAGAACCACAGCTGGAATGTTTTTTTTGGTTGTTGTTTGTTTTTAAAGGTTTGTTGACAGAAAATGATCACAGTCTTTAACGCCCGAAACAAAACATCCGACGAGGAAGAGTTTGATTTCAAAACTAAATAAAGTTTTTACGTTTTAAGACGATAAACCAGTAAAAAAAAAAAACACCAATCTGTAAAACTTTACAGTCTGTAAAGTTTGGAGCAGGACTCCTCGTGTCACAGTTCGCCTCGTGTCCGTGAAAAATGCATCGACTTGATTCTTAGAAACCTGAGTTTTCCGACGTGTTCTGCTGCGGCGGTCGGGTCCGACGGAACGGATCAGAGGCTGAAATCTGTGGAAGCCGTTTTTTTATTTCCAGTTTCCTGTTTGTTCTAGGAAAAGATTTAGACCCGTCTTTAAGTTTAAACTGCTCTCAGAACCTTTAAAGGGACATTTCGCACATTTAAAAGTGAAGCTTGAACCCGAATCAAATCCACAGAACTTAAAATAAAAATGTTCAAAGTTTTGGTTTTTAAAGTGTTTTTTTCTTCTGTAAATAACAAATAAACAGCTGAAAAGGAGTAAAAAACAAAACATTTTAAATTAGTCGACTGAATATTTCTCATTTTTATTAAAGCTGCAGCAAAATGAATAAAATAAACAATTATTTTATTAATAAAGCACCTAAAATAGTTGACTAACTCAAAATTAGAAAAAAGTCAAGGTTGTTTGTGGCACAAAATGACAAAAACATTTTGATTTGTGAAAATCTGTATTTTTTTTATTTGCACTCGTGGCTAAAACAACTGATTTATACAAAAAATACTATTAGGCATCTTTTTTACTTTAAAATTAAACATTTGATGATTATTTTTAGTAGTTTCTTGCTTATTTATTCCTAATTTAGACAAGATGATCTGATTGAGCAGCTTCTGATTCAGATTATCAACAGAGTTTTGGGTTTCAAAATAAAATGTTAATATTTTTATAAATAGTTAAAGATAAAAAAAAATCTTTGACTTGGCAAACAGCTTTTTGATTTCATGCATTTTTTTATTAAAAGTTTTATAAGCGCAAATTTATTCCCCTTTTTTTTTTTTTGCATAAATGTTTTTTTCTTCAAGTTCTTTTTTTGGTCAGAGCATGAAATAAATGCATAATAATCCAAATATTAAATAGAAGATTGCTTTGAACAAAATGATGTGGAATTCTTTTACATAAAATAAAAGTGTAAAAACAAGATTTTAATGAGTTGTAGTTCTGGTTTTGGCCGCCAGGCGGCAGCAAACGAATTTAAAACAAAATTTCTGGACAAGTAAAACTAGAAACTGTTGAGATTTCAGGATTTATATTAAAACCTGATTTTACTTAAAAATAATTTCTGTTGATTTTTGGATAAACTGAATGTTTAATTAAAATTTTATATTTAAAAGTCAGAACAAAACGTACTGATTCTCCCGCTAAAGACCAGACTTTTCTCTGCCTCCTGATTTCTGCCGCCGGCGTCGTCTCAGAGGCGACTGAAGGTTTGAATCTGCGACAAAAATTAAAAACGCATACCTCCGATTGATCCTATGACTACCTGTGCGAGGTGAATAAATACTTTCATCTTCCTGACGCGCTGCTGCTCTGAGAGGCAGTGCTGATTGTCCAAAGCAGAAACGGGTCGACGGGTTCCGGTTCTGGTCCAGCCGTCGATCGGCGAGGCTAAAGCTGACAGTAAGAAAGAAGAGATCCGATCAGAAGAGTCCAGGGAGGGGAAGGGGGTAGGGGGGTGTTTGTGCTCCTATTTGGCTTATCAGCTCTATCAGTAGTCTGTCCCACTGGACCGGACCGGATCGGACTGGAGGGGAAGGAGGAGGCCGGCGGTGGTGGGATCGAGGTCAGAGTTGACAGGAGGAGAAGGAGGAGGTCACAGAGCGGTGGAGGTGATTTTCTTCAGCCCCCTCCGCTGAGCCAGAGAGGAGCAGCCCACCGGGTCCAGAACCGTGGCCACGTTCCTGCTCAGCGCAGAGTACGTGGCCGCCATCGCCCCCTGAAGGAGGAGGACACAAAAACTGATTATTTAACAAAACAGGGAGAAAAATGAGATTCTATGGGTGCCCGGAGGTTCACCTTGACCAGATGTGGTGCTTCCTGTCTGTTCAGGGTGTATTTGGGCAGCTGGTCTCGGCGGGTCACCCAGGGGTGTCTGAGGACTTGACCCGCAGTCAGTCTCCGGTGGGGGTCCACATGCAGCATCTTCGACACCAGATCCTGATGGGTAAGGAAACCTTCAGTAAACCCGGAGTTCTCCCCTGTTTCACGCTAAAAACACGTTTCTTTTATTTTCTTCACCTTTGCTTCAGCAGAAACTGAGTTCCAGTACCCTCCTGTCAGGGAGAACTTCCCGCTGCCGATCCGGGACAGAATCTCCTCCGGAGTGTCCTCTGGGCCGTTAGCAAACGGAGTGAAACTAACAAAAGGTGGCAGAGGAAAAAACAAGGGTTTAAACACACGTAGAGTAGAGATGAAAGGGTTAAAGGATGATATTAAGCAGCACAAAAACATGTCGGAACGTTCCGGTAAACTCACCCCGTCAGCATCGTGTAGAGCAGAACCCCCAGACTCCAGATGTCACAGGCTGCGTCGTAACCCTGCTTCTTCAAAACCTGCAGATAAACAAGAGTCAGCTAAATTAACTGCTTTGCTTTATGCTAAGAAAACATTTCGGCTGTGACTCAAAACTTCAGCTGAGTTTAAACGGCTCATCTTCATCACACGGCAGAATAAGAGGAGAAAACTGACAAAAAACTCAGAAACACCTTCAGAAAGTTTGTAGAACCGGAAACACCTTCAGAAAGTTTGTAGAACCGGAGAAATAAACCAGGGTGACGCTGAAAGACAAATAAATCAGCTGAAGAAGCTGAGATTTTAAAGCTAAAAGAAGCTGAACTCCAGCTAAGAGGTAGTAAATGGAGAAAAACGCTGGCTAAAAGCATCATAACGGTGGCTACAAATTAAAAGCAGCAAATGTTACCTTTAAGCTGAAAGAACCAACTGGCTTGAAAATAAAAATTGCAAATGAGAACTAAAATGAGCAAAATACTAACTAGGAACAGACAAACACCAACAAGTAAAAGTGGCAAGATGTAAGCTAAAAATGGCCCAAACGTAATGGCAAAATGCAAAAGGCTAGCTAAAAATACAAGCATAGCTAAATGTTAACTCAAAAGTAGCAAAACACTAGTTAAATTTAAAATTAACAAAATCTTTGCTAAAAGTAGCTAAACCCTAGCTAAAATGTACAAGTACTAAAATGGTAGCTAAATGCTAAAAATAAGCTAAAAGTTAACAATAAATAATTGCTTGTTGTAATTTATAAGTTGCAAAATCTTGGCTAAAAAGTAAAAACAGCAAAATGCTAGTTAAATGCCCAAAGTGGCAAAAAGCTAGTTAAATGCTAAAAGTACCAAAATGCTAGTTAAATGCTAAAAGTAGCAAAAAGGTTGTTAAATGCTAAAAGTAGCAAAAAGCTAGTTGAATGCTAAAAGTAGAAAAATGAGTTAAATGCTAAAAGTGGCAAAAAGCTAGTTGAATGCTAAAAGTAGCAACATGCTAGTTAAATA